AGGCTGAAATTTCACGCGGGATGTTAAAGGGATCTGAACGCCCTGAGGCTGGATGCCTCGGCGAATTTGGGGGTCCTGCACCGGCACTCGGAAGTGTAGCTGCTCCAAACGATGCCGCAAGCGACTGTAGAATAAATATAGTTGTAGGTCCAGGCACCGTAGAAAAACCCTAAACCCTAAACGCGAGTGGGCGCGGCCTAAGCACGCCTGGGAGGGAACTTTGGTTTCAGGGTCTCGGGCGTTTTCAGGGCTGGTTTCTGTGGTGACCTTTTATGCTGGGGTCTTTGTTTTATAATGGTCAACTCTAGGGATCCTTGTTGTAACCCTAAACCCTAAACCCTAAACCCTAAACCAAACTTCTACATTATGGCTAGCGGTTTTGTTTCATAGCCATGCCTTGGAACAGATCCAGGCCAATAGTCATACTGTATCCAAAGATGCTCGTTCTAAACGAACGACAGTCTTTGTAGCGTCCTCTTAGGATTTTCGTGTTGAAGTGGAGGAGTGTACGGAATCCAAGAAACAGCCAGGGGAATGGACCTACGACGTCCAGCTCAAGCCCGCTCTGTCAAGTTAAGACACCGAGATAAGTTGCATGATGCTCAAAAGCGCTACCTAAACCCCAAAAGTATGTAGTATAATGGCCTTAATGGCTATTATTATTGCTTTAGTGCCATTATTTTACATACTGTTGGGGTTTAGGTAGTCTCCAAACGCGACGCGCTCATGACGTCACGGCATGTGCACTTGCTGTTCGTTGGCTGCCTACCAACTAGCGGAACTACCACCCCTCGAACCGACTCGCAATAAAGAACAAGCTGTGAAGATCATGAAGGCTTAGGGTTTAGGGTTTAGGATTTAAGGTTTAGGGTTTAGAGTTCTGGAGAAGGAATGGCAGACTCCGACGCTCGTGCGTCGAATTGTAACGGCGGCTGGAGAAGACGTCGAGGTGCAATACGCTCATCAAGCCGCTTTAGCGTGGCAAGCATTGACTCCGGTGTCAGCTAATCCAGTGACGTTGTAAACCCTAAACCCTAAACCCTTTGCGTGCGTGTGTGTGTGTGTCAAGCAATATTCACCTCCAAGTGCCTGCCAGTTGTGCAAAAGCGTGAAGGAGGCGTGGATTTTGATATGCTTGGTAATGGTTGGCGAATACTGGCTTAGATTTGTCAACATATTTTTCTGCATTATTACCCGACAAGAGACTTTTAATCACACCCTCCCAATATGAACACATTTGAGCCCATTCAAACAAAATATTGGCCCCAATATACCCCAGTGAGAATATTCAGTATTTTGTGTGCGTGGGGGGATCAATACCTTCCCCGCACGAAATCCAAACGCAAGTATCGTAGTGATTCCAGGGATCAGCAGTTTCCAGCCATAAGGTCCATGTAGCCATGAACTGGGTGCCTTTACAGGGGTATGCAGGCACATATTCGGATATATAAGGTTCAATATAAGGCCTATAGGGCTTCTGTCCAAGTAAGGATAATCAGGTATTTGAGATACTTATAACTATGTCCCCATTGGGTTGCAATGTTTCCCGCTGACGCCTTGCTACAGCCATGTTTATCAAACACCTCATTAATTCAACAACCGTGATTCTTTTTGCAATGAACCTCCAAGTGCCCTGCCCCGAACCAATCCCGACAATGACCACTGTACTATTTAGGGCATGCTATACAGGCTTGTGTTAATATTCGCCTAACAGTAGACATAGGGGCCCCTTTGGTAGTTCAGTATAGCCCCGAATATTGTCCCCCGGTACTGAACCAATGTCCAAAAGGTCAAAAACTGGTTGAAGCTCATATCAGCTTCCGTGTTCGTTTCGGGGAGGGCAAGCCGTCAAACCCGTAGGAGAGGCCCGGGGAAACAGCGTCAACAAACTCATCCAGAATTGGACACAGCAACTCTACAACCCACATGGCCAAACCAACTCCCAAAGCCAATGCGTTTTTTTTGGGTTTTGCGGGACTATCCCTCATTATGAACCTACGTGCTAGGCCCTCAGAAGGCCCTACAAAGAGGGCCTGTACTCCCAAGCATTAAGCCCGAGACCTTTCGGGAAGGCATAAGCCTTCAACCCAAAATAGTATAAACCCAAAGCCCTTAACCCTAGGCACTCCCTAAACCCCAAAAGTATGTCAAAGAATAGCCCTAAACCCATAATAATAGCCATAAAGGCCATTATTCTACATACTTTTGGGGGTCCAGGTCTACCTTAAACCTTGAACCTTCAAGTAAGCCTGAATCCTACATCCCCAAACCACCAAACCCTCAAAGAACATTTATACCCCAAACCCCACTGCACTCAACCCTATATGAGCCATAGTCTAAACTCCTTAAAGGGGGGGTTATATCGGGGATTATGTAGGGGACTACTATAGGGGTTATTAAAGGGGATACTAGGAGTTTAGATTATAACCCTCATAATCCCCTACATAACCCTATACAGCAGTTTCCATCTCATTTTCCATTGTCTTTTCCATTTGATTCTCCATTATTGAGGGGGATAGGAGTTTAGACTATAGCTCATATAGTAGTTTCCCAAAATAGGGGGACCCCAATATGGACCCCAAAATACTATAGTCCTTATTATAGGGACCCCCAAGAAGGTAACCCTAATTTTGGGAAACCCCCCATTTCTTGAAAGACACCCTAAACCTTTAAACCCCTAAACCCTAAACCCTAAACCCATTTAGGCCCCTATATTACAAGTTATAAGTACAATGGACCTCTAAGTAGCTCATATAGCTTCCTTGAAGACTTTTGCTCGCAGGAAGAGCTCCTGGCCTGGATGATGCAGCAGGCTTCCGGAAAGGGGCTCGGGTTGAGGGTTTAGGGTATAGGTTTTAGGGTTCTAGGGTTTTAGGGTTTTAGGGTTTTGGGTTGAGGGTGCAGGGTACCTGGAACCCAAAAGTGTGTAAAATAATTGCCTTTATGGCTATTATTAGGGGTTTAGGGCTATTATTTTACGTACTTTTAGGGTTTAGGGTATAGGTTGGGTACTGGCCCCCCCCCCAGCAACAGTCTATATTAGGGGTCCTATTAAGGGCTATATATAACCATATTATATTTATTATCCAACTGTTTCTGGGGGGCAGTACCCAAGGTATAGGGATCTTTTGCACGAAGAATACACCTCCCACCCCCATGAGAGCTAAAGTCTAGATTCCGTATAAGGGGTTATATAAGGGATTGTATAAGGGAGTATTATGGGGTTACTAAGGGGGACGCTAGGAGTTCAGACTATAGCTTGGGTAGTGCCCCCACCCAGTAACAGTCCATATTAGGGGTCCTATTAAGGGCTATATATAGCCATATTACAATTTCTATCCAAGTGTTACTGAGGGCGGGCACTACTGAAACTCTAGCTCATGAAGAAGAGGCTTAATTTTCTGACTGAATGTTCTCCAGTTTCCACTGCAGCAACGTTTCGTGTCAAAGTGGGGTTGATAAAGCCACCGTTAAGGGTTTGGGGTGTAGGGGTTTAGGGGTTTAGGGTTTAGGGGTTTAGGGTTTAGGGGTTTAGGGTTTAGGGGCTTAGGGCAAAAGAGCGGGGACGTATCAAGGCGCTAGTGTCTACAGATAGCCAAGGCTTCCGTAAAGGGTTATATGTTAGGTTGGGCCACCGCCCAACAATTCGGTAGACTAGGAATATACGTCTTTACATGTACATCCGAACCTTAATATGTTGACCATTATCTCCTGTGGTCACTATTAGCGGTCGGGAACCTAAGCTAGATGCTCTACATTAGGTTTTCTTTGACCCTAAACCATAAACTCCCCTAAACCCTGAACCCTAAACCCTAAACCCTAAAACCCTACTCCAGCATAGAAGAACTTCTCCGGATCGGAGTTCATCCAGACCCCAAAGCCACAACTTAAGAAGCCACATGAGCTATAGTCTAAATTCCTTAAAGGGGATATATAGAGGATTCTATAGGGGAGTACTATAGAGGTTATGAGGGGGATGTCTAGACTATAGGTCGCATTCAGAATTTGTTCTACAGATAATTTGGGGAACTCATTTGGGGCATCCCTTGCGTCTATAGGAAAATAGGGTTTAGGGTTTAGGTTTTTTCAGACAGACCACTTTGGGGACAAGATTTCTCATCATCGACCGTATCTGCAGTGATTTATTTGGGTATACTTATAGTCCCTATGGGGTGTAGAACCTAAAGAAGAATATTATTAACCTTCCCAGACTACCCTGGAACCTGATTTGTCACTTGGACTTGTACGGGTAAGGAATAGGCAATTATCAGCTTCTCGTAAGACGCCAGTACAGAATGATTAGCATTATGACTGGCGCCATTACTGTTGTTATGCTTTGAGTCTGATTTCAAATAATATGTTCAATATTAGTACCACGGTTACAATACTTGCTATTGCAATTGCTGTTGCTACTGCTACAGCTCTGATTGTTGTTGCTAGCACCTAGATTCAATATGCTTTTTGTTTCGCAGTGATGCGCCCTCAGTTTAGGTGCAGTTGTCGGGTTGAGGCTCGAGTGAGGATCCTCTGGAAGAAATGCCCATGTTGCGCTTTCTCCGAATTGTGGGTCTGGATTTTTGAGCGCACGTTTGGGCCGTTCACCCTAAACCCTAAGTGGGCAAGTTACAGCGACCTCACCCGACCTCACCCTAAATGGTGGTTTATATAGGGAATAGTACCAATATGGACTTAAATTGCGAATTGAAATTATTCTAAATGACCCCGCCCTAAAATCGCATCGTGCCTGAATCTTAGCAGCTTGGTCTTCAAACATGTCACCCTTCACCTGCGATTAGCATCCTGTCTGAGGATCATGGGTTCCTCTTCGGGATCCCTGTAACACTTGCCGTAGGAAAAGTTGGGTGCCTACTTTTGCAAAATGCCGTTGGCCAGGAGTAGTATTTTCAATAGGGATTTTAAAGTCTAGTCCACCATATGAAGTAAGGTCCTCCGCTTGGATTTGGGGATTTTTAAGAGTCGTCCAAACATCGATAGCACATTGCGCATGTTTCAATAATAGTTTGGTGTGTTGGTTGGCAGGGGCGTTGCAGTCTGCAGGACCCTGAAATGGCACACGAAGATGCGGAGGAAGAGGCCGTTGTCACCATCTGTTTTAGGGGATGCTTAACCTTAAACCTGAACCCCAGACCCCGGCTAGGCCTTAGGGTTAAACCCTACGCCCAGGGCCGCAAACCAGAAAGCATGTGTGTTAGGGTTGGCTTTACAGTAAGTTTTTGCGTTCTGGAGGATCCAGGGATTTAGGGGCCTTAGGGTTGAGAATTTAGGGGTTTGCTTTGTTTTGCTTACCTTATTTCTGTAGTGTATACCCTAAGCTCCTAAACCCTAAACCCAAAGCNNCCCCCCCCCCCCCCCAAATCGCAAACTTGAAAGCGCGAGCCTCAGACCATAAATCCTGATAAGTGTTCACCCAAAATCCCAAAATCAACAAGCCCTTAAACCCTAGAATCCCTAGCCTGAATTCCATTGAATTTTCTCATATACTGGTGGCTTCATGGGACTTAGCAAGTATTAGGGCGTAGGGCTTAGGGCTTAGGGTTTCTGATTGGGCTGATCACCCTACTGCGATCTTAAGATTGAGTTATTATCACTTGTATAATTAGGTTGTAAGTAACCCCCCCTAGATCTCAAACCCTAAGCCCCGAGCTGTAAGACCTAACCCTAAACCCTAAACCCTAAACCCTAAACCCTAAGCCAACCTTAGACGTAGCTCATATAGGGATCCGGGTTGAAGGTATAGGCACCCTTTCCTGCATGTAACCTCCCCCAAATTAATACTGGAACTGGAAATTTGGCACCTACAGAGATTGCCAGTGGCTGTTATCTGTGTAAACGGGTGCTGTGTGAAGTTGCCTGTCAGTTTCGAGGAGGGTAAACCCCAAATGCTATCTCGAAACTTTTTGTTTGTATCACTATATATGAGTCGTAGAAAACCCACAATAAACCCTATAATGTTTTTAAGGGGATCCATATTTGTTTACCATAAGCCTTGAACCCTGAACTAACTATTGTTTAGTGTTTGGATGTGTAGAACCCCTTCCCTCCGAGCGGACTCCTATGCCGGCTGGTCTTCTAAGCCCGACAACTGCATGAGGGTACACTAAGAACTCTGTGCAGAAAAGCGTCAAGTGCATCTCACCAATCCCCCACGGCATGCACACGGATCATGGGCTACTGTGGGGTAGCAAAAATCCTTTGTGACGTAGGTAGAGAAAAACCGTGCACAAGAACCCCCAAGGTTCTGCGATATTACCTAAACACCTAAACCCTAAGGGTACTTAGGGTCATGCAGGGGTTTTAGTATCAACCGCAAGTCATGAGGGTCCCGGGCTGCAGCTGTGAGCCTGTGGTAATTTATGCTATGGGTTCTTACGGCTTCGCTCAGAGTTTAGGCTTTAAACGTTTAGGGTTCAGGTCTTGTGGTTTAGGACATAGGTCTCAATTTGATAGTATGGCCCGCTGATCTGATCCCTTTACCTTGTATGGGAGCCCATAAAGACACATATAGTGTGACTACTAATCCATTAGAGTGAATACTAAATCCATAAGAGCCACTGTCTTACCTCCTGATATCCCCTTCAACACCCCTAAAATAGTCCGCTATATAACCCCTTTAAGAAGTTCAAACTAGCTTCTACATTGTAAATACTAAATCTATAAGAACCCCACGGTCAAGGCGTCAGATTCGAGGTCCGCGCCTTTCCTCCATATTCGCAAGACCCTGAACCCTGAGCTAAGCCTTTTAAGAACCCAACCCCTTTGAACCCTGAAACCCTTGAACCCTAAACCCTCTAAACCATTAACCCTGCAACGCCTAAACCCTTTAAACACCAAACCCTTGCAACCCTTTCAACCCTGCATCCTTGACACCCGGAACCATTAAGGACCCTTAATTGATCTCAGGACTTTTCAGGCTGGTAGTTTGCAATGGAAGCATTGCATAGTCCGCACATACTTCCTTGTGTCCCCGTATAAACCTTAAGTAATACCCTAAGCCCTAAATCCAAAAAACAAAGCCTGTGACCCACCCAAAAAAACAGCTAGATTTAACACCCAAAACCCTAACCCTGAACACGATTTCTACAAACCCGATACCCCCAAAGCCCTAACCCCTTAAGCCCTGCACCCAAACATTCAGCCCTTACCCTAAGCCATTAACCCCAACACCCTAAACCCTGAACCCCAAACCCTGGCCCTAAGCCCTAGACCCTAAATCCTAAACCTGAAATCCTAAATCCTAAGCCCTAAATCCTAAACCTGCAATCCTAAACCCTAAATCCTAAACCTGAAATCCTAAACACTAAATCCTAAACCCTAAATCCTAAACCTGAAGCCCTAAGCCCTAGACCCCGAATCCTAAACCTGAAATCCTAAGCCCTAAAGTCTAAACCTGAAGCCCTAAACCTGAAACCCTACACCCTAAATCGTAAACCCTAAATCCTAAATCCTAAACCCTAAATCCTAAACCTGAAATCCTAAACCCTAAATCCTAAACCCTAAGCCCTAAACTCATGGCTTAAGCCGCCCCGCCTACCCTGAAATCCGAAGCCCGGAAGGCAAGCTCTGCTTTCGAAGCTTTCGATGAGGATAAGAATCAGAAAATGTCCCAGGCCTTGGAGATTTTTGGGTTTAGGGGGGATTTATAGGGTTCATATGAGCCATAATCTAAACTCCTTAAAGGGGGTTATATAGGGGATTATATAGGGGACTACTATAGGGGTTATTAAGGGGGATACTAGGAGTTTAGACTATAACTCATATAGGGATATATAGGGTTTAGGATTTAGGGATTTAGGGGTTTAGGGTTTAGGGTTAGGACTTCGGGTTTAGGCTTTGTGAGTTCAGGGTTGTAGAATTTGGTAGGTCTAGGGTTTTAGGACTAGCGATTGTAGAACTTTAGGAGTTGCGGGGCTAGGGTTTTAGGATGAATGGGTTACGGGTTCAGAGCCTAGAGATTACAGTTCAGGGTTTAAGGTTTGTAGCGACGTTTCAACCCAGGAAAAAGCGTTGGGAGGATCATGACCCCAAAGCCCTTTACCGCGCTGCAATACACATCAGAAGTGGGAGAGCCTGTGATCGTGAGCGCATGGACGGCCAGCTGCACAGCCAGTTCCCAAAGACTAAGTACGCACATCCATGACTTTGTCCAGCCTACAAAGCTTTATGTAGATCACTATACCTCCTTAGGCCTTAAACAAACGACCAACTGCCCTAAAACCTGCAACCCCCAACCCAAAATCCCTGAACCCTAGAGGACCAAGCGCAGCCTGGGGTCCCTTTGCCCTATATCGATGAAGCCTGAAGGTCCCCCCAAAACAACCCTCAACCTTGAAGCTGCCCTAAACCCTAAACCCCCACATGAACTGTAGCCTAAACTCCTTAAAAGGGTTTTCTATAGGAGAGTCTTATAGGGGTTACTAAGGGGGATGCTAGGAGTTTAGACTACAGCTCGCATGGAGCCTGAATCCCTACATCCTTTGCCGCGCCAGGCCGAATTCGCGGAGGCTGTGCAGACCATGGAGGGCCTCAATGAGCGCGACAAGAATGACGATGAAGAAGGTTCAGATCATAAAGGGCACTTCAATGTTCATGCGACTCCTACTACTTACCTATATGAGCTATAGTCTAAACTCCTGAATGGGGGGGTTACACAGGGGAATATATAGGGGAGTATTGTAGGGGTTATTGCAGGGGATACTAGGAGTTTAGACTATAGCTCACATAAGTCCACTCAGGAAGATTAAAAGATTCGGAGTTATTCGATCAGTTACTAGTAGTTCCTAAGTCTCCTGAACCTTGCAGTATCCGGTCTGGAGTTCAAGGTTTGCAGTGTAGAGGTTGGGTGCTCCGGCTGGTACTATTCAAAATCCTGCATGACCATCAACCCTAAAGCCTCAGCTCTTAACCCTAAACGCTCAGCCTAAACACTAAGCCTCAAGCCCTAAACCCTGAACCCTCAGCCCTAAACCCTAATAGCCTAGACCCTAAACCCTGTAATGCTTCCGGCCGCACATCTGGTCGACAAAGTCTGCACGCGCGAACATTATGCAGAAATGCTTCAAGTTCCTAGTCTCAACGCTACCAAGAAGTTGCCAGGCATAGTTTGCTTCCACATAGGCATGGAGGTCCGACTCACAACTTCGATACTTCCGCCTTGGGCGGTCCAGGACACGGCAGGCACCATTGTGGACGTGGAATTTGCAGAACAGCTGCCGGAGCTTCTTGGGCCTGAACACCTGTTAACACGCCTGCCCAAAGCCATCTACGTGCAGCTTGAAGACGTCAGAGCTGAATTTCTACCTCCGACGCCCTGTGCACAGCATACGAGGTACGCTGCCGGATGTCTGCCCAAAACAGATACGTGGCATTTTTTGGAACACGATGGCCACAAAAGCATTGTCAAAAGAACTTCTTATGCCATTTATCCCGCACGTGCTTGCTCTCTGTACACATTGCAGGGAAGTAGTTGCGACCCAGGCCTCATTGCGCACTTTGTCTGCCGATGTAAAATTCCTGCTGGTGTATGTCATGCTCTCTCGTGTGCGCAGACTCTCAGACCTGATATCTGTGAACTTGACAAACGAGGTCAGGAAAATCATGGAGCGAGGTCCACCAGACAATTTGCTGGGTTGGGCAGACTCGGAGTTCCAGATTTACTGTTTAGGGCGAGGTGTTCATTCAAGGGATTTCCACCGGGCTGGTTTCCCCGTAGAAACCTTACTTCGCCCTTATATTCCTATAAACCCTATAAGCCCTAAACACTAAACCGGAAAACTGGCGTACACCACCACTGATGGGTCTGGCTTCTGTTCGTGAATTCGGAGTTTCTGCAACTTGGAAGAATGTTTTGTGTGTAGTACCCTTTTTCCCTATTCGTTTTGCGGTCTCCTTATAACAGCTGAACATTAGGAAAAAGGGTGCCCTTCTTATCAAGAGGTTGCTGGGACCCTAGTGGGGGATTCCTATAATAACGATCATCTATTTTGAGGGATCTACATTGAGGCCCCCGATTTATGGATACACCTAATTCTGTTCCAGATCATGCTGCTGGCCAAACCCCCATAGTTTAGGTTCTGGGTTTAGGGTTTAGGGTTCACCCTGAACCCTAAACCCTTAACCCTAACCCTATACACCCTCAACCTACGAGTTTGCAGGGTCCAGGGATTAGTGTTATATTTCAGTCGCATAATGCCTGTCGTCAAGACACGAAAGATCCATAGGCTGCTGGTGTCGGGCATAGGGGTTTAGGGTTTAGAGGTTTAGGGTATAGGGTTTTAGAGGTTCAGGGCTGAGCGTTCTTTATCCTGCATGACATTAGCTGATATACCACCCTGGCAGAAAGTGCGTAGCGTCATGCATGACTCTTAGTGTCTGCCGCTAAACCCTAAACCCCAAGTCCACCGGCGGGAACCTTCTTCAGCAACCAAGCGTCATACTTTGAACATCCGTTGCTGAGGGACAAACTCCTGCATGACCTTAAGTATACTTAGTACTCCAAGCCCCAAACCCTAAACCCTAAACCAAACCCCTAAAACCTAAACCCTATAACCACACCCCCTAAACCCTAAACACTAAACCGTTGGGCCATGCAAGACTTGTCCATCAACTCTACTAGCAGGCAGATCTGACTCTTGTCCATCGTTTTCAATGATCCTGAACCTTGTCTCCAGCCTTTGCCCTCCTACTGGTGCTTAGGGGGGAGGGGGGGAGTGAATATGGAGTTTGGAGTTGAGGGTTTAGGGTTGAGGGTGGGGGAGTGAATATCGGTACCATTATGGCGCTAGATATGGGGCTCTTTAGGGATCATTATAGGGATCCATTCCCGCACTCTCCCTTAAATACCAGTAGGTTGCAACCAAGAGACCGACCGTAACCCTGAACCCGGGCATCAACCCTACACAAACCAAACTCACAGCCTCCTGTGCAGAAAATGACCCTAAACCCTAAACCGCCTTCTGTGCAGAAAATGACGTGGAGACTGCAGAGGACCTAGGGAGCCTTGCGGACTAGGTTTAAGGTTTAGGGTTCAGGGTTTAGGGCTTAGGCTAGGGTTACTGGGTACCTACCTCCCTTGAAACACGCCCACTTGAGCTATAGCCTAAACAAGGGGGTTATATAGGGGAGTTTCTATAGGGGCGCATTGTAGGGGTTGTTAAGCGGGATACTCGGAGTTCAGAGTAAAGCTCACTTGAAGTGAAACTTCCCTTTCCTACACCCTAAACCCTAAACCCCAAACCCTAAACCCTAAACCCTGGACCCTAAACCCTACACTCCGGCTACTTCCATAAAAGGATCTTGATAGCCTCAATGCCAAGGAGCACGATCCTATAGCTACCATGTGAGCCATACTCTAAACTCGGGTTTAGGGTTGGGGGTTTAGGGTTTAGGCTCCTAGTTTTCCCCGAAATACCCCTATAGTAGTCCCCTATATACTCTCCCCTTAAAGGAGTTTAGACTATAGTACATATGATTATCATAGGGCCCGAAATTGGGATGTGGATGCTGGGTCTACCAGATCCTCTTGTTATCCTTGTGAGAGTTCCGGCTGTCATTGGCGAATTGCAGGCATAGCGTTTTAGGGTTTAGGGCTTAAAGGGTTTAGGGCTCTTGGATTAGCAGGGGGTTCTACAGTCGAGTTCAGCACCTAACTAGGACCTTCAAGACCGTATGCCAGTGTTCTTGGTGCTATACTGTAGCCACATAGCCCTTTGCCTTCTGCTTCTGGTTTTCTAGGAATGATACATTCTTTGTTCCAACCAATCTAGACCATAAGCCCTGAACCCTAAACTCTAATCCTAGACCCAAAACCCTGAACCCTAAGCCCTAAACCCTACACACTTGACTGCTTGGTGTGCTATCTGCCAGTGTAGCTTTGCCTGGAGAAAGTCCGGAAGGCAAAACTAAAAGGGTGGAGAAGCCATGCAACTGCTGTTAGTTTAATAGGACTTAGGGTTTGGGTTCAGGGTTTATGAATTAGGGTTTAGGGTTTAGGACCTAGGATTTAGGGTCCAGGGCTGAAGGTTTAGAGTTGGGGGTGAGAGTTGAAATTTGTCTACTGCAAAGATGTATGAATGAAGCCCATTGAGAGCTGCTGGTGAACAGTTTCAAAGGGCCTTGTCATAAGAACCCCTTACACTAGGACCCTTTTTGCAAGATATCCCAAGGTAGAAGCTTTGCAACCTTCAAATCCTAAACCCTAAACCCCGAGGCCTTGTGGTGCGTTTGCTCTTTTATCAGCAGCCGGTACTTTCTACATAACCCCAGTCTAAGTATAGTCTTCAGCCTCTGAGAGCTTTTCAAGACTAATCCCTATGGAGCTCCGAAGAAGAACCCCAACCACCGCATAATTCCCGAAATACCTAGGGTCCCCACGAGACTCCTAATTTGAGAAACTTTCCAATACATCCAAACCCTAAACTCTGGATACATGATAATTTCCATGTTCTGTTCCATTCCCTTACATGTCCCTGTACAGAGAATGCAGAAACTTCCATGTATTCTGCAATCTCTTTCTGCTTTAAGTCCTAGGGTGGAAGCCTTCACCCTCAGCCCCACATTTAGCGTTTAGAGTCTGAGCTACTCTCCTATCAACATTCGGCTTACCAACGGGACATTGAGAGTGGACATAAAGGTCCCTTTGGTAGTCTAGTAGATAGTCTCGAAATACCCCTAATAAGGAACCCATGTCCTTAAATTATCTGGGTAGTATTGGCTCTAGCCCACATAGAGTAATCAGAGTACCTATAACAGGGGGCTTTGTACCTGCATTTCGTAGTATTTGTAGCTTCTTTCTTTTGGGGCCAACTTCCACTTAGCTACGGCTTATGCTGTAGGGTCTAACGTGGGGGCCTGAACTATTGCCGGTATGAGTTCGAGGTCTATTCGAGGTATCCCATGCTAAGTCCAACCAGCTATAGTAGTGGTTACGTCAAACAAAGCTCTAGATGAGATTGATCATTTTTTAGGGTTTAGGGGTTTAAGCTTCAGGGGCTTAGGGTTTAGGGGTTTAGGGTTTAGGGTTTAGGGGTTTAACGTGTAGGGGTTTAGGGTTTGGGAGGGAGTTAGGGTTAGTTCAGGCCCCTGCAGTGTCCCGTAACCCTAAATCCACGGAGAGGAGCACTGATGCCTCCCTTCGTGACTGAGCAAAGGCAGCGGTCACCAACTGGGAGTGTCTCAAATAAGTACATATAGACATGCCCTTGAAAAAGCTATATGGGTATATATATATATAGGGAAAAAGACAAGAACATGGAAGCTACGATGTATTGAGGTCTTAGTTCCTAAGCACGTACAAGGCTCCATTACTTCCCAGTTTGGCAATTGTAAACATCACCTCTTTGGTGGTCCGAAGGGGTTCCAAAGACCCTTGCAGTGATGTTTCTTGGCGTCACACAGAGAACCCTGGCATACGCAAGTTTCTCTGAAGGGGTGCCCTTATGAATGACAGGGGGAGAGAGAGAAAGGGAGAGAGTGTGACTCCTTACATGTAGTTGCTTAAGATCCCTTGACTCTAGAATTGCTCTGTCCGCTTTACACTGCCAGTTTCCATGTCGCTTCCATTTACTTGTAAACCCTGAATCGCTACGCTCAGAACCCCCAGACCCTGAACCTCTGGCTTCCTGGACCTTGAACCCCTAAATCTCTAACCCCTAAACCCCTAAACCCCTAATCCCAACCCCTTAACACGGAACCCTGTAGACACTGTCTGGTCTTGTGAGTAAGAGGTTCGCTTGAGGGTCCTACGGATCTCTGAGGGATGTCGAAGGATTACAAAAGGATTGCGGCTTCGAGTTTAGAGCTTAGGATTTAAGAGCTAAGGTTTAGGGTTTAGGGTTGAGGACCACCTCACGTTTTCAATTGAGGTTGGTGTCGGTTTAGGCTTTGCAGGGGCAATTTTGAGAAACTCCCAAGTGATTTCAGTTCGCAGTTCCTGATTGAAGTTCCTAGCTTCAGGGGCAGCTAAGGGCGCATGGCTCAAGATCTAGAATTGAGATGGATACTAGAACCAAACCCTAAACCCTAAACCCTAAGAAAGCATAAAGCCCTAGAAGCCAAAAATCCTAAACCAGATGAAGCAACCACAAGTACAAGGAGGCCTTTTGTACGTAGCTGGTAACCCTGCCATGGAGGCTGCTCGGGGATTTGGTGGAGAAACCTTCGGGTTCAGGCTGTAGGGTAAACCTTAAACCCAATTTCAACTTGAGGGCACTGAGCATTAGCCCCCTAAACCCCTAAGCCATAGACCGCACAATGACCGAATCCTTGCGGTTTAGAGTTTTGGGTGCACGCTGGGTGGGTGGCTTTAAAGAGGTTAGGTCGGCATTGGAAAGCCGACTGGGGGAGCACTAGGGAGGATAAGGGTTTAGGGTTTAGGGTTTAGCCCTACACCCTAAAACCTTATTGACCTACTGCCCTTGGAGGGCCCCCTTAGAACCTGGTAAGACTAAGCCCGAAACCCAGGCACGCTTGGAGGTTCAAGGGTAGCTCTGGACCCTTTACCCTGAATCCTAAACCCTAAACCCTAAGTCCTAAACCCTGAATCCTAAATCTTAAACCTGAAATCCTAAACCCCAAGCCCTGAAACCTAAACCCTAAACGACGTAAGTGCGCGTTTGGCAAGAGAGTCAAATTTCAGTGATTTGAGTACCCTTTTCATTCTGAAGTCAATCCCCCTCGCCCCCTAGTAGTAGATATTCCCCATACGCGACCTTCTATTCATGGGAGGGATACGTTTAATGAACCCTAAAAGCTAAACCCTTAATTAACCCTAAACCGCGGGGCAGGGGGGTCATTACTTCAGTCGGACGATGATCAGGTAGATCCCCAAAGGACCCGCAGATAGGCCAGTTACTCAAACATTTGGGTGGCTTTAAGGATGTAAGGTTTAGGGTAGGGGGTCTGTCCTATCTGGGGGCTTTATGGGAACCGATGAAATGTAATCTGCGTAGATGCCCATTTCTGAATACCTCAACCCCAAAAGTATGTAAAATAATAGCCCTAAACCCATAATAATAGCCATAAAGGCCATTATTCTACATACTTTTTCGGGTCCAGGTACCAACGAGCCTGCTTGGCCCCGACCCTCTTCTATCTCTGTGCGGGCGCGAGATTGTTAAGCACAAAGCTGCACGAAGAGAGCCATGCAAAGGAAAAGGAACATGCCGAACCCCGGTGGGCAAGCGAGATACCCCCTAAACCCTAAACCCTAAACCGTTAGGCTGTGTATATAAACTCCCTTATTTAGCACCCGAGCTCATGTTATCAGTCCCGAATGCTATGCTGGTGTTCTTGGTCCTTGCCTTTGCTGTCTATGGTTCATGGATCTCACATGGTAGGACATCGTGGGATCCCAACTACCCCCCCACCACGAGCCCTGAACCGTGCCAGCTGCCCCACCCCTCAAATAAGGTCCCGAACCTGGACCTAAACCCAAAACCCTAAACCCGAAATAATAGTTTCCATTTTCTCTTTCCTCTATCCCTATATAACCCCAATATTACACCGAGGGTGTACATCAAAACGCACCCCCTTTGGACAACAAAGGAAGTTTAGGGTTGAGGGGTTTGGGGTTTAGGTTTCTACTACCCCTCTCCGTCCTCAGAGCATCCTACTTTACCTAAAACTTCTGACAGTGTTTCTAGCCTACTGCTCTGCCTACTATTGCTACTACACCCTAACCCTAAACCCGAAACCCTAATCTGTGTATGGGCCTCCACGCTCATGATGGTTGCGCTGCAGCTGGCCAAGAGGTTTGGTTTTGTGCTTTGGGAAGCGTGTGGCGGTTCAGGTGTTGAGGGTTTAGGGTGTAGTTCTGGGATATTAACCCTATCAACGGAGAATCGAATGGCAAAGAACATGAACATAAACATAAAAACTGTGATCATGTAGGGGTTTCTTAGGGATACCAAGGGTCCACGATGGTCCATCAAGGGTGGACATAAGGGTCTCTTTGGCAGTTTAGGACAGCCCCTAATATATTCCTTAATGAGGGCCCATGTCCATTCATTGCATAAGAAACTGATTGCTGCTCATATGAGCCAGAATCTAAACTCCTTAAAGGGGGTTACATAGCGGATTATAGAGGGGAATCTTCTATTATAGGGCTTTATTAAGGGGGATGCTGGGAGTTTAGACAATGGCTCATCAGGTTTGGGGTACCCTAAACCCTAAACCCCAAACCCCAAACCCTAAACCCTAAACCCTGGGGAGTTAAATTTTTTGTGGATTCTACGTGGAAGCTTTGCGCCAGGTTTGGGATGGAGGGGTCTTTGGGCTCGGCTGCACGGGCTGGGTTTGGGGCTTAGGGTGAACCCTACCTAGACCCTCCAATGTGTTCCTTTTTGGGTTTGGTATGGTTTTTGGGTTAGGGGTCTTATTAAGACTACCAAAAAGGTACCACATTGGAGGGTCCAGGTAAACCCCAAATCCTAAACCCTACACCGTGGGATCCGCAGTGGATTTTACCAGGGGGTTCAGCGGCTTGCTTTGGGTTTCAGGGGGTTTAGGGTTGTCTTGCTGCAGTGTAGAGGGCCATGTTGCGCGTGCGCGCCTCTACAACATTCACCATACCTTGAACTCGACAGCCCAAACCCTCAAACCTACACTCCAAACCTTAAGCCTTGCAAACAAGCCGTGTGTGTGCGCGGGGGAGGGGGGGGGGGGGGG